CACTGATTTTGTTTCAGTTAATTTTTTCACTCGTCTTTATTAATAATTACTGTTTTAAATATTAAAAAAAGTGTAATTAAGTAGGAATAAGATAAAAACCTTTGGTTACCAGTTCTACTTATTTTATCGAAAATGCTAAAAAAATGTTTATTAATAATTTTTTTATTATATGTAATATTTTTTATTATATGTTTACAAACATAAAATATTTACTTCATGTCATATTATTTATTTTGATAAGTATACAAAATGTATATCTTTTCAATTAAACAAAGTTTCATATTATTGCAAACTTTGATAAGTAGAGTAGGAAAAACGATATTAGAATAGTTGTTCAGTATTAGAAAATTTCTAATGTAATACTTAAGAATAGCATTTTTCAAAGTTAGAAAATTAATTGTATAGAATAAAAATGCACAGCATATTTGTATATATTATATTTCAAGCTTTTATTTATAATAAAATAACTTTTATTGAATTAAATTTACATAACATTAATATTAAATTTACATAATTAAACATATATAATATAAAGATAATTATAAAAATATATTTGCAAATAAATACAATACTGCTGATTCTTCCAAACCTCAAAAAGTATCATTTTAATTCATTACTTATTCATTCTTTTTATTTCTTTATATATATGTAGTATTGGATAATAAATTCAATTATTACTTTTTATTACTTAAATAACATCCATTTTTATTAACAAGGTTGAAAGACCACATGAGACATATGCAAATCCAATAGCGAATAGCACGCACAGACAGATCATCGCACAGATCGCACGACTTGACGCTAAAGCTAAAAAATCCAGCTTTTTTTCTTGACGCTAGCGTCAACTCGAAGTCACGTGACTATGGGCAACGCTGAAACGAGCGTCCCATGAATTTGCACCTTAAAAAGAAACAGGAGGAAGCATATACTAGCCAGGACTAGGTAAATCCGCGGACGAATGTACGTCATGGCAGCCATCTTGAGCGACCACTTTTTGAAAGTGAGAGGGAATGCTCGAGCATAGCGGCAAGCGGCATACCGTACGCCGTACGCATTAATATGCAATGTATAGTCTTTTATGCAACAGTGTATGGAAATAAACGATCAAAATGGTATACTTTAGAGCTTGTGGCATAACAGCAGCAGCTCGAAATCATGGAATAACGTTTCATCGGTTAGTATTATCAACAATAATGAGTATTTTTATTTGGAGATTATAATCATATGTATAGTATTGTGAAATTGTAGATTCACAATAATTACTAAATAATTTTCACTCACAAACAGGTTTCCGAAAAATCCGGATCAAAGAAATGCATGGATAAATTTTTGTAAGGACGAAGGATTTAATATAAATTTAGATTTTAGATTTTAACATTGCTCTTATGGAAATACTGCACGAGTGCAATCCCAATGAAAAACGTCATTAAAATTTGGTATTATTGTTGCCTATTATAGTTATTTTCTTTTAATTGTACATTATTTCCTAATTAAACATAACAAGTCATTCAATATTGGCGCCCTTGAGCGGCCATCTTGAGCGACCACTTTATATAGTCACTTCCGTCTGCACTTTTACGACCAAACGCTCCCTCCTGTTTCTTTTTACTCAATGGTTTTTCCATACGTCAAAGCCTAAAGTTAGCGATCTAGTACTAGTATAGACATCTGTGCGATCTAGTACTAGTATAGACATCTGTGGCAATGGTAGATTCATACTGCATACGTTTCTTATGCTAGATCACATGTAAACTAATAAATTATTAGAAATGCACCATGTAGTACAGATGTGAAAATAATCGGCGCGAAAAAAGGTTATGTTCTTGTTTAGATATTTTATATACAAAAGTTATTGACAAGATACTATTTAGAGTGCAGTTTTCTATTTACTCAATGAAAAAAATATATATAATTGCAAGATTTTATTAAAAATGGACGCTCTTTGGAATGTTTTTAATTTGGAACAACCGCCGTGCACAACTTGGCATGTAAAACCATTAGATGCAAAAACAATGGGTATAATTGTTATCTATTATATACTAATAAAGTACATTTACAGTATGAGTTATATAAAGAAATATTGAATAATCTGATTTTAGTCAATCTATGCATCTATTATATATAATATATTGCGTTAGATATAATGTTAATTAACACCATTATCGAATATTGTATCTAATAATGATCACACAAATACATTTGTAAATAATTTGTTTTTACTTTCAGCTATAAATGTAGATCTACTTAATACTGTAGTTGCCACAGCAATCAAAGACCTAAAATCATTGGATGTTCTACACACAGAAGCTGCAGTTTTGAGCCGCTTAATTTATCGTATGAAAAGCAAGTTTCGAAATGATAAAGGTTTGAAAAAGATGGCTCAATTGAATAAAGCATTGCTCAACTATTATAATATGGATCTGCTAAAAGAATATGAAACTCTGAAATCTATTATTCAAACAAAAGGCGAGATATATATTTTACCAAGTAAACAGATGCTGGAATATGTGCTTGTGAGAATGCAAGGCTTTGCAAAGCTTATGATCAGAGTTGATAAGATTGCAAAAGATGCTGCACATTTCTTGAAAGCAAGGATTCAATTAGGCCATGCATGGACTATTTCTTTGATGGCTTATGCCACTGTCAGTAGGATTTGGTATGATTTTTTTATAAATTTAAATTATTTACTTTTGTCTATTATTTATGGTTGTTATTTACTTTCATAAATAATAGTAATATTTATTTAACAATAAAATAATATATCTAATTTTTTTAGGATTTATTCAAAGTTAATGTTGCAAAAATGTTGTAAATGGTATGAAGGACTATATCGTTGTTCAGAAAACTTTCAACTTATTGGTCTACCTTGGATTCCAAAGGATCAAAGCTTACCATGTGATTTGAAGTTATGGCTGCCTGATTTTGATTGGTTAGATAATGAAATGAGGTATGTTTGCAACTATTATATATTTTAATTATAAATTCCATGAATTAAGGGTTCAATGTGAAATAAAATATGATACTTTAGTTTTTCTCACGATGGTCTCTGGCAACAGAAAAATATGTTTAAATTACTCAAGTTACAATCTGACAATACTGAGGAAATAAATTTAATGACACCTGATAACTTCACGACTGACATCTCAAGACTGTCACAAGAAAATACTTCGACTCATGATGTGCCAAAAAATGAATCTACATCACGCACTGATAAAGATGACACTGGAGGTATGTATTGATTGATTAATGTTATACAATTTCTCACATATGTAGGATATTTCATTTTTATTATATACATTCGACATAAAGTGCAAAGATTGAAATAAACTTATTTTTATTAAAGATAAGACTCTTGACAAACACATCTTTTAATGAAAAGAAATATTATTTGATGAATAAAATCTTGTTAAAAGTAATCGATCAAATTATTGCTATTATAATTATTTGAACAGGATAATAATAACTAATTATTGTTTTATTATATATAAAATATTAAAATGCCATTCGAATTTTTGGTCATATAATAATAACTAATATTTCTTATAAAGAAAATTATATCTTTCTGAGATATCGGTGGTTGTGAAATTGCTAATCATTTTAAGTCAAACATTGTATTCTTAATTGTTTATTTCATTTTTCTGCAATTTTCTATGTATATCTAGAAGTCCATAAGTTAAATATTACCTCATTCTAGACTATTGTAGATTATATTTTGTTTGGAATCTGATAATGCTTAAAGCAAATTTCTATTTTAATATTTTATTATTGTTTTTTACTAAATTGCCGTCGTCATAGTAAAATAAGAATGGCTGTTTTAACAATTAAACAATTATGTGGATATCTTCCTTTATGATAATATGTCAATTTTTGTCCAGAAATAATAGATCGAGAAACTTTCAAAAGAAGTCTGCCCAAGGCATCACATGTTGCAGAAAATTCCTTAGCAAGGAAGCATAAAGAAACAATGGAAGAGCCAAAAAATAAAAAAAGGAAACGAGAAACAAAATCAAGAATCAAATTCAAGTCAAACAGATCGAAACAATAGAGGTAATGTGACCTCTTATGTTAATTTTAGTAAACCTTGTATAATATGATTATACATAAATTAATGTTTATAAGTATGCATTATATTGTAACATATATCTCGACAAAAAATAAATTTATACAATATACATTTAATGTCAGCAACTGGAGTTGTACTTTTTCAAAAAAGATATTGTTTATATATGTGTATGTATCATCGTTCCATTTAGTTAAATAATCGAGTGACAAAGTGCGTTCTTGCGTAATGATGTATATATAAAATCGGGCAAGAGAGATTTTTGTACTATACAAAGAATTATATCCGAATATCTGCTGCTACATAACATCTTTAATTTCAGTTAAATGCATCCATAAGCGAATTTATCTTATTGGGGGAGAGGGCTGAGGGGGGTGAGCTGAGGGAAAAACAAACAGCATTATGCAATTCTAATGGAATGATGCTAAGATAATAACATTGAGCAGTAACTAGCTTTCTGTCGAAGGATCTTCCGTATTTGTGTAAGGTATATACGGTGCGATGATTAAGCGTCATAGGCCGGGTACAAGTGAACCGCGTATCTTCGTGGTCTCATCCAGAATTTCACATCGAAGAAATTGGAGTTTCTCTTCCGCATGTTGTTGAAGCAGCAGGCGCGGAATTGCCGAGTGCCGCAAATATCGGCGCATTCTCGCCCGCATTGGTCGCAAGAGACAGTTTCGCCGAAAGTCCATAGCGCGCACACTGCAAAAGCAGATAAAATCATTGATTATATCACACGAGATCCATTCTCCCATTTGACATTTATGCTGAACTAGTATTGGCCGTTCTTTTTTTTTAATGAAAACCTTTAAAATAAAGAATTATGTGATTTTCATAGCATATCAGTAAATGTGTTAAATACAACATTCTTGTATATTTTTTCTCTTTTTGCACAAAATTATTAACTTTTTGTTGTTCAAACCTGTTCATATTCAAAAAGTTACAAACAAATCAATGTTTTTTTCCTAAATAAAAGTGAAACTATTTAAACACATTTCCAAATTATCTCATAATAGCAGCAGAGAATAATTGTATAATTAATTTACAAGGAAGTTTAATTAAAATACGTATGGACAAGTAATATTATACAAAAAATAATTAAAAAAGTATATAAGCAGCTCAAAATTGGATTAAGTATTTTTATTGCACGTCGGATAAATGAAAAAATTTGTAGGGACTGAAGCGTAAAATGAAGTTTGAAACAAGTATACTATAACGCGATGCATTTATGGATGTGATGGCGGAGTCAACGTAATGAATGTCAATCAAGTAATTACAAGTTATCCTGATCACGCAGGCCAATGCATACATTTACGGAACTTTCTTCAACTTTTGAAATTTTTCTTCTCATCCGTGATTACCAGCCGATAACTTTACCAGGCAACTTCAATTTAACGTCTATTCTAAAATAAAAATGTTAATATGAAACCCCAGCAAAGAGTGATTGATCAAGAGATATAGCAATTAATTTATATATAAATTAATAAAAATCAAAGCAGTTAGATTTATCGTAAATTCAAAATTACATCTTTTTAATTTATTTGCAAAATATTAATAAAATATATGTCTCGTTCTTTTCATTATTCAGTCAAATGTTTTTCTAAACATTATATAATATTGTATATTATTAAACATATGCATAGGTCAGTTTTATAAAATTACTTTTTCTACCTTATGTCTGTTTTATGTGAAATATTACGAATTACGGAGGCATTGAACGATTAAAAAGCTAATCTTAGCGTAAATATAATAGCACAATGTTCTTAACAGAGATCAACGAAATCCAGCAATACCACTATTACTGCCTCGCTAGTGGGATGGTTGATCGGATTACACTGTAAACATAGAAGAGGCTATGGATATCGTGATTGTCAACCTCATCATCTTTAACATCTTTTATCCCCTAAACATCAGCAATTTGTAATCTCTAATTTTATTGCAAGAAACGTTGCGCGCATTATGCGGTATCACATATTAAAAATTGTACAAGTAGCATTAATCGTAGAATTTGTAAAAGACATAAACAAATATACAAAGACACTGCTATAAAAACGTGAATCTCTTTTAAAAAAATTTTTTTATAAAATTAAACATGAAATAAAGAGAAATGAAATTTTTCTTTTATTGTCTATTTAATATTTTTTTGAAATATCAGTTATTTGTAATCTGACTGTTCTTTATTGCAATCAGTACTGCAGCCAATAATATGCGACATCGTAATAAAAATAATAAATGAAAAAGTTGCAAATAATAATAATACTTGTAAAAAGTAAACCTAAAAAATACGTCATATAAATATACTGTACATATAAATTTCTTATAAATAAAAATAATGAAAAGCATAAAAAATTGAAATTTTGAAATAATAATTTCGAATAAAGCGAGAGACATTCGTCGATTAAAACGTGAATGATTAATGTGAAAAAATGACGAGAGAAGCGCAAAAAAATATATTCAATGACAATCTCCAAAATTAAAGTACACATATTAATATAGAAAGAAAAATTTTATTACCTGCGAGAAAGAGTAGCATCCAGCTGTGATTCATTTTTATGAAGTATTCGCGATTAAAGGTACAGTGGTAAGCTTGGCACGCCGGTAAGTTTGATGACTTTGGTTGTAGAATGCTGTTTGGTGGTGAATGCTGTTTTAAAGAATAAAATAACAATATATTAGTGTGTGAAAAATTAAAAAAAAAAATATTCTATCAACAGTTTGTCAACAATAAAAATTTAACGAAGTAAAGTATGCATCTTGAATAATATGTTGGTCCAACAAGTACACATTTCGAATTTTAATAAATATACAGTTTAATTAAAATATTTTTTTAACGTTTAATTACAATTATAGCATTATTAATAACACTATCAAGTGACATCAACAAAACACAATCAACTCTATATTTTTTTTATCTTCTTATAACATAAATCCACTTTTTATTAAAATAAAACGCGCACGTATAAGAATAATTGTTACATTATCATTAAACTTCTAATATAAATTTTCAATCTACATATTGTTCAATTAAAGCCAGCGGCACACGGTACGTTTTTGCTTACTGGATTGATTGCG